AAACCAACGAACCCACCTTCTTTCAACCATTCCAAGTAAGATTATTATATAATTCTTTACAATTTAATAATCCTCCAAGCATTAATAAACGCATTCAATCCCAAAATCCCTTATTTCATAGAAACTTAATTTAGAAAAAAAAAATCACATATTTCACAAATTTCAGCAAATCAACTCAATTTTGATGTTGAACAACAATTAATAAGCCCCTCTATAATCTTTTAGACTCTCAAAGTTTCAATTTATAAGTTAATAACAAAACAGATAATTTTACTAAGAATTTTCGATTTAGTCATTTGAGCAATTGGGGTAGATGATTAGGAAATAGGACTTACCTCTTTGAATCTTTGACGGAGGCACAAAGTTCTCCATGCCGGCGGTGTGGGTCCGTTTGCTTATAGGAGAGAGACGGTGGACTGAACGAAAAAAGAAAAAAGACGAAGAAGAAGGAGAATCGAAAAAATGAAAGGGGAAGAAGATTAAAGAAAATCGAAAGAGGGGAAGGAGAATAAGAAGGAAGGAAAATTGGGAAAAATATAAGAGAGAGAAAGAGAACCGCTGTGCAGTTATTAAAGAGTTAAATTGACATTTGAAAAGCCATTAAAAGAATAAAAAGGAATAAAAGTGGAATAATGAGATGGTGCTTCAAATTAAGAATAATTTGTTTTAAAAGGATACCAGTGTCTTTAATTCTATTTCCTACACTTACACTATGAGTGAGTTTGGTTAATATTGGGTTGAGCTATCAAAACAGGCCCTTGGAGGCCTTTTGGTGGGGCGGGGTAGGCTTTTGGCGGGCCTGTTAAAAGCTGGCCCGACCTGCCCCGCCATGCGCCGCGGGCTCGTCGGGCTAGGCCCGCTTCTTTTTTTTTTTAACAATTGGGCTGCAGCCAGTCAGCCAGCCCGATAAGCTAATGTTGGGTTGGATTGGGGCGCAACCCAGTTCTATATCTAAAAAAAAAGAGAAAATTGCATAGTCTACTAAACAATTCTATCTTTGTTGCACAGTTACAACCCTTATATATTTATTAGCAGAATAATTAAAGAGAAAATTACTCCACCACCAACTTGTTCATAAAATATTACACATCTACTAAAAAATATTTTATTAATATTTTATTTGCAAAAAGGCATCTGCTAGCCAAAATATTTGTAAAGATACGAGATTTATACACAACATCAATTATTTTCCCACTTTTCTTCCCACTTACGACAAATAATTCTTTCCACCTTCTCTTATCCTTATTCTTTTTCTTCTCAGATAATCATGAATTTCCATTTCTTCTAAAAAAATTTCTCCTTTTTCTAATTTCTCCTTATTAGTCTGCAATTTATCCCTCAAGAAGACAACAATTGGTGGACGTTGTTTGTGACCGATAGAGAACAGCGGGCGGTTGCAACTCCGGGCATCAGCGATGGCGGCGGCGGATTACTTGTGCGGGGTGCCCAGTCCTCGAACTCCCATTGCTTGTGGATCTTGCACGGCGACGGGCACATCTCGCAGTGATGAGACCTCGAATTGATTGCTCGTCCAACAACGAATCGTTTAATTTTGATTTTTTTATGCGGGAGTTCAATTAGAGCTTGAGTAATGTGGATTAATTAGGAATTTTTCCGCGCAGATGAAGATGGATAAGAAATTTGAGGCTTGAGTAATGTGGATTAATTTCGACGCCTGGATCTGAAATTGTTTCCAGTATATGTTCTGTATATGTTCGGTATACATATATAAACCCAGAAAATTGGAATTATTTTCGGTATATGTTCTGTATATGTTCGGCATGTGTTCGGTATACATATATGGGGAGAGTCCAATCGAAATGGGTTGCGGAGGCCGAAACGGGTTCGTCAAAGGTCTCGTCTATGGGGAGAGTTCGATCGATGAGCGGCCGACGTCGCGTGAATCCACTGGGCATAGAGGGAAAGACGGCGGAGAAATTCTTTTCTCTATACACAATCTAGCATCTATATAATTTTTTCTCTCTCTTCTGTTACGAAGGGTTGTGGACAGACGGGCACATAAATTCTTTTATCCAAAGGGTTGTGGAAAATCTTTTCTCTCTCTTCTATTGTGTTACACAATCTTGCATCAATATAATTTTTTATGGTCAAGTAGGTATGTTTGCAAATAAATTTTGTAGTTAGTATTTTTACAAATATTTATGAAATAGTAAGTAAGTATGTAAATGAGCCTTAATTAAAATTATTATACTTATTTGCATATATACTAAGATTTGGATATTCCAGTCTCACGTTTCTCTCTTGTTTTTCTTTGATTTCAAACCGAGAGAGAGGAGAGAGACAGGGGGCCTTTTGGATATGGGCCTATTGTCTAAAGGCCCTTTTCCACCTAAGTGATATTGTGAAGGAACGTTAAAACAGGATATAAGAACCCTAAAACAATGTTGACCCTTTCCACCTAAACGTCCATTTGTTAATTAATAGCTATTTTGACATAATGTTCATCCTCTCTTAATTACATAAAGTGTTCATTTTTCTTCCTAAAGGAGGAAAATTAAAAGGATAAGAAAGTAAAACAATGCTACCTAGTACCTTGTACAACTATCAAAATCTCCAATATCCAACCACAGCAACTAGACATTGTCTTAAATGGAACAGACACAAAAAAAGGGCTGGCAAATGTTAGAAATAACTTATTCTTGATATTTTTTTTTTTTTTTTTTACATTGCCACTTCAAAGAGTTCATATCCCAGGATGCTAACCTCTGTAAAAGGTTCTGATAATAACAAAATAGACCCCCAAAAAAAAAAATGGATTGTTTGCATTCCATAAGCCAATCATCATTTGTCCATCAACAGAATTGCTTGAATGAGTTCAGTTTCACTTTACAAGTACCAGAAATCACACATCCCTTTTCCCACTCCAAGCAACACATACAATTCATCCATACTTATTCTAAAAACACGAAAACAAACAACTGTTGTCTCGGCTTCAATCAGTAACTTCATAAGCTCCCTTTCCTCGAATGAATGAATACACTGTGCACCCTACAGTCTGCCAGCCTAATCACAGAAAATCCTACACTAAACAACCTAAAAAGAGTAAAGTAGCGCTTGAAAGGATTGCAGCATTTTCAGCTCACCATTTTCCTCTTCAGCAGCCATCCTCACTGTCTCACCCGTTCTCTAAGCAATTTCATACCAAAAAACCTGCAAGAAAAAAGTGTCACCCAACTGTCAATCAGACATGTAACAGCCCACAGCTTATAGAGCCCACAATATATCCTTTCACAGACAATCTTCACCACAAATACAAAACATATCAATGGAGTATCTGCAAAACATTAATCCCAGCTGTTTCCATAACAATCCCTTATCCTTAGAATTCCTTACCTTCCCAGCATGAGAAGAGTAGCCTGAGGATTAGTCCCAGGCGACACAGCAAAAGTCGAGCCATCCACAACTCTGAGAGCATCAATCCCTATAACCTTGAGGTCTCGATCGACCACTTTCCCCACAAGGCAGCCCCCATGGTAGTGCCATATGGTGCTCACCGTACGCCTGCAAAACTCCCTCATCTGCTCGTCACTCGACTCGTCACGCGGCAAAGCGGGCCCCACATACCGAAAATCCCGAGCCCCCGAGAACCATTGGCGGAACCTAAAACCTCCCATTGACCTGCTCCTCAGAACATCTCCAATTTTCCGAGTCCCGTTCACGCACAGCTCGAGGTCAATCGGGTTTCTAAAGTAGTTGAACCGAACAATCGGGTTCAGTCTCACGTCAGTGGAGGCCAGCCTAAGAGAGCCCGAAGACAAGGGCCCGACTATTTTCTCCATCAGAGTTGCAACAGTGACGAATACGGGCCGGGCCCGGGAAGTGAAGGGGACGATATTCGAGGCGGCCTCGAGATAAAAACCGGAACTAGTGATGCCCACGACCTGTATTAAAGAATGATCCAAGGGCAATCTCGGAAGAATTGAAATCCCGTTTCTTGGGTTATCGTACATGAATCGCCCGACATAGGGAGAGTGGTGTGCTATGGGAATTCCCCATGAGGCGAGATAAGGCCGGGCCCCGATTCCGCTCAGTAACAGAAGTTGCGGGCTTCCGAGGGCCCCGGCACATAACAGGACTTCGCCGTTGTTCTGTACCATGGCGTGGTGGTAAAGGCCCGTTTGATCGCGAAAGATAACTCCGCTGGCTGAAAGTTTCTTGCCTGGATTAGCCGGAGAAGATGATGATGTCAGCAGAACCCTCTCGACAGTGGCGTGTACCACGACTTTGATGTTCGGAGGGTTTGCGTAGTTTAGGAGATCGGCTGAGCTGTGCCTCGTGTTCGAGCTGTCGAATGTGGAGCCCCCGATTTTGGTGCCTACAACGTGATCGAGACTGAAGCCGTGGTAAGGATTGAGCCCGGCCTCTAAGAGTGCATTCCGAACAGTAGATTGCCAATTTTTCAAATCAGGTCTGAAGACAATCGCGTTTTCTACCCAATTGTAAGATTGATTCACCATTTTGAGGTCCCAATTGATACCTGAGCGGCGGTAGAAATCTTGGTCGGCCCTGCTGTAGAAACCGGCGTTGATGGCGCTGCTGCCGCCGAGGACCCTGCCGCGGGCGTTGTGAACGCCGTCCTCGGAGGTGAAGGTCTGAGCGGGGGAGTCAAAATCGTCGACCTCCATTAGGGTTGTGAGAAATCCGTCGGGGCTCATCAGATTAGGGTCGCCGTATGGAATCCCCCCTCTTTCGAGAACAAGAACCCTAAATTTCTCCGACAGGGTCGCGGCGAGTGGGCAGCCGGCGGTGCCGCCCCCGACGATGATGTAATCGTAGTAGTCTTCCGGAGGACAATCAGTGGCGTCCGACAAGAAACCCAAATACGTCGGACCTGAAAAGAACACGAGAAGAAAAAAAAAACGCGATTAATTACGGAAGTCGTGAAAATCTGGGTTCAAGAAAAGCAACAAAAACGTAGTAAAGCGGCGCAAGATCATTACTCCGTTGAGAAATCGATTCGGGCAGACAAATGAGAGAGGCGGCAATCAGTAAGAGGAGATACGGCGGCGTGACCAGAGCGAGTTTTTCCGGCATTTTTGTCGTAAAGATTGGATTTTCTTGAGGGTTTTCTTTTGCGAGAGAGATGAGGGGGAAAGGTGTTTCGGGCTGGGCGTTGTGAGAGCGTATTGTGACGGTCGAGCCGAGAGGAGAGAGAAAAATGAGAAAAGTTTGGAGCGGAAGAAGGAGAAGTGAGAGGAGCAGTGTAATTTTGGTGGGAAATTCAGTTGGAGAGTGACAACTGCAGCTCTATTTCTCTGCTCGAGTGAAGGGATTTCTCGACTAGAAACNGATTTTTATATTGAGTTAGACTAAATAGAGTGTATGTTGTGTGTTGATTTTTATATTGCATATAGACTAAATAGAGTGTGTGTTGCGTAAATTTGGATATAAAAAATTATTTGTAAAGAAATATTATATATATATATATATATATATATTTGCATATAATAAATTAAGAACTATTTTTCATAAATGTTTAATGTAAATATCTTAAAAAAATTACACTATTCGTCCATTAAATATACTTTCGTTGCACTTTCCTTTTTTTAATTGTTTTCGGTTTACTTTTGGTACACTAACGATTTTTTAACCCGAATAAAAAATAAAAAAATTAAGTGGACGAAAACAAAACAAAAAAATATATATGTGGACAAAAATAAAAACCACGTACTCTGAGAATACGTTTTACACTCGGAATACATTTTACAGTCAATTAAATTAATTACGTGATTAACTTAATTTAATAAACTGAAAATGTATTTCTGAAATACGTTTAATAAATAAAATTATTTAAAACGTATTTCTAAAATATGTTTTATAAATAAAATTAATTTTATAATTTATTTATTGTAGAAAATAAATTTAAAAACGCATTTTCAAAATGTGTTTTATAAATAAAATTAATTATTGCATAAAATAGTTTTTTTAAAAATAAAATATATTTTGATAATACGTTTCATTTTGCCCTAGAAAAACGTATCTTAGCAATACATTTTATCTAAAATGTAGTTTGAAAATACGTTTCATTTTGCCCTAAAACCAATTTGCCCTAAAGTCAATTTTGCCCTAAATTCAGCCCAAAACCGTATTCCCAGAATACGTTTTCAAATAAAAAATACAAATACGAAACGTATTTCGCGAATACGTTTCACTGTGCGAAAAAAAAAAAATACACCGTTTGTCGAGATCCATTCCATAACCAAAAATCAATTCGACAAAGCTAATATCAATCCATTCGTCAAATAATAATCTAACATACATACACTATATACAAAAAAGTGAATCGCAATAATTTATTCAACAACCAAATATGTCAAAATATCAATACACAGAATCCAAGAAAAAAAATATCAAAAGGTCTACAAAATCCACCTAATACAACACAAACTAACTAGGAGTGAATGGTTCCCTAAGTTTGCTTTGTCGGGAGCCCATCCGACATTGTGGTCGTGAGAGGCGTGGCAGCTTCTTCTTCTTCACCTAAGTAATTCATTTTTTTAAAAAATCATAAATTCGACTAGACAATAAATAAATAAATAAATAAAAAGTCATTTTTAGTTAAGTAAAAAATTTTCACCTTCTTCTTCTTGTTCAGGCCAGGTGTTGGCAGTGGGTTCGCGGTCACGGCGTCTTCTACCTCCACTAATGTTGGCAGCGGGTTGATGCCTCGCCCTGTGTGACTGTGTCCTCTCGGATGGGACGTTGTCCTCCTCAGATAGAACTTGACTGAACGACGCCCCTTGTGTGACCTCTTGGCCAGGACTGTTGAATTGCGGCCTGCGCCCGTGGAGGGAGTGTAGGAATAATGTCTTGAATACTCGCTAACGAGTTATAAATCCCCTCCAAGGCTTGAGTCTGAAAATTAAATTCAAAGTAATTAGTATGAAACACCAAATAATAATAAAAATAATAATAATAATAATAAAACCACAAATTAGTTTTGGAAAAGAAGACTTCAATTTGATTGGTCCATAATTTCTAATATTTATTTATTAATAATTATTTAAAGAGATAATTAGGAGATGGAGTCTTGGAAAGAAGACTTCAATTTGATTGGTCCATGAATTTCCACTTATTTATCTCTTTAATAATTATTAAAAAAAATAATTATTTATTTTACTCTCCAAGAAAATGACATGTGACATTCTTTAATTGACCTTCAAAATATACATGTAACATTCTTTAATTGGCTAACAATATATACTAATCAATTAATCAACCATTTAATTTAAGAATTAAAATTTGATTAATTTTCTAATTAAAATAGAAAATTATTAAATTGATTTTGACATGGAATTTGACACTTGTCATTATATTGGCTCAAAATTTAATTGTCTACAATGTAAATATATTTTAATTATATTCAAATCGACACTCGCACCTGTATAGCTTATAAATATATTTAATTGATAAGTTATTTTGTTATTGTTCAATTAATTTGATAGGATAATTAATTTGTACTATAAAAGTGTGTATACATATATACATATTTATTTATATATACAATAGTTATTATGCATGTCAAATTGAAGTTCGTCACGAGATATTTAATTTCATGTAACATATATGAAATTTTAATGACAAATACAAATGTTATTAGGTTTTAAATATATTTATAATTTAAATTAGTTTAGTGTTTTATAATTTTAAAAGTTCTATTGATCATGGTAAAAGTCTAGATCCATATGGATTACTCTTAGAAATTACCGAAAATTGACATAAATGATTTTGAAGAATTACTCTTAGAAATTACGGAAAACTGACATTAATTATTTTGAAGTACCAAAACTCAGACATATGGCATTACGAAATACTAAAATTTGACATATATGTTTGAAAAATTCAGGATTTATATATAGAAAAGATTTAATTTTTTTAAAGAGTTATTTGAAATTATGAAGAAAAAAAAAAGATATATTATTTTATGAACCCATGTAATACAAGGCCCACTGGTTCTACGGAGCGTCTAAAGTTAGAATTTGTAAGACCACGTTAAAATATCATAAAATGACAATATAATCTACATATTTTTTTCACAATGCAAAATTTATTTTCAAGTGTTAGTTGCTTAATAGTATGATAAAACGAAACATCTTAATAATAGGTTGGTTAACTCATTACAATTTTTTTTAAAAAAAATAAAAATGAACATTTGTTTTATGAAATTTCATATTTCTATTTATGATATTTTTTTAAGTATGTGCAATTATGTATATTTATTTAAAAAATATAACTAATATTGTTAATGTTAAAAATGAACATTTGTTTTATGAAATTTCATATTTCTATTTATGATATTTTTTTAAGTATGTGCAATTATGTATATTTATTTAAAAAATATAACTAATATTGTTAATGTGATTTGAAAATAATAAAATATTAACTAGTAATAATTAATAACTAAAACTATGTGAATTGTTCAAATTAATAACTAAAATTTTTGAATCTTAATTTTTTATTTAGAAATAAATAATATTATTGAGGCTTTTCCCTTCTTACATACCCCTAATTAGTAATAACCAGACTCATGCTTATTTCACTTCTCCGATTTTTTTGGAGCTATCTTAACCTTGCTTGGTTTTGTAGACGCAGGAGGTGAAATCGAGGGGAATTTCAATTGTTCTATTGGTAATTTCTCCATTATTGATATTTGTGTTCTGAGTAATTGGTAATTTGTGCTTTATCGATGCTTTGTGTTTGCGATCAATATCTATGTTTTTATACTAAGGAATCGGTGGTTTACAATATACTTTGCGGATCAATGTATCTTTTATGATGAGGAAACTGTAAATTCTTCTCTTTGTTTTAATTTCTATTGTAAGTTTCTTCTTAGATAATATATATAATTTTAAAACACACAACCCACAACACATAAATAACATGTATATATAACACTCATCCTATCATCTAAGAATATATGGATCATGTGTATATCTATGGTATGAAATAAATCTTATTAAAGATAATACATTGTTCTAAAGCTTATTATGTATATATATATTTTTAAAGTTTTTGGTTTAACTTATATTTAAATATTTCGCAAATTTCGTCCTAACATAATATACATATAATTTCAAAAACTTCCTAAGATAATATACATAATTTCAAAAACTTCCTAAGATAATATACATATAATTTCAAAAACCTCCTAAGATAATATACATAATTTCAAAAACTTCCTAAGATAATCTATATATATATATAATTGCTAGCCTTTTATTTAATTTTACCTCATAAATAAAACCTAATAAATTTTACCTAATAAATAATACAAACTTTCCAAATACAAAAACCGTTACTTTTACAAAATACATCAATTTTGGACAGTTACAAAATCTAAACTAATGACCACTATTTTATCTAAATATATCAATTTAGGTTAATTAGCTAAAAATATTTACTTTTTTAATTTCTTATATAATCATTACAATGCTAACTTAATTACAAATTATTTATTATAGAAACTCATGATTACATAAGCATGTATTCAGAATATAAATTTAAAAAAAACTTTTTATAAATGTTTATTTGGAATATCTGTTGTTTATTATCATATCACTACAATAATTAATTATGGTGAAAATAAAAAATACAGCACATGTACAACATGAATAAATACACTAACAACAATACAAAATAATTTCACCAGCTCTGGAAATTGTATCATATAATAGTTATTATTACAATTAATAATTATATTTTACACTAAATGATATGTGAAAGTTATATAAACATAAGAAACTATATTGTAAAAACTTTTTGTTCGAGTAATTTATTATAAAATCAATATAATATTTCTTTATCTGCTTAAGCGATTACTTTTTAAATAAATTAATTTTTTTTAATGGCATAGTAAAATTCCTTAAAATAGCATAAGCAATTGTTATAATAAATTTAATATTTTTTAGCTAATTAATTAGTCATAGTCCCTTAAAATTTCAAAAACTACATTATTTATTTTATTTTATGCAATCAATATAGTGTTTCATATACAATCAAATCGTTATGCACTATTTATTTTAACCAATGATCAAATTTTAAAATATAATACCTTTATCTAACTTATAATTTTAATATTATATGCATAAATATAATTTATAATACCTTATGTTTAAAATATAATATCATTATCTAACTTATAATTTTAATATTATATGCATACAAATAACTTATAATACTTTATTTACATCTGTGCAAATACACAGTATCGAATACTAGTATACATAATTTCAAAAACACGCATTTATTAGAATACT